ATTTACCACCCCCTAAATTTCGAAACACCCCCCCTAAAAAGAAAAGCTGGGGAACATACTGCTGTGGCCTACAGGCCTAATACTGTAATAGGAATTGAGTGTGGGCTAGCGTCACGAAAGGAACTAGAATTTGATTGGTCAGAGAAAAACCTTCTTTTAATAAAGATTATTTATTTAAGACAAATTATCCACTAAATTGAGAAACCCCCAATTCCATTTAAATACACTGATCGGGACAAAGGAAATATAGTGGTGGGAAAAAGGTTAGCTGTTCTTGATACTTCTGCTGTTATCTTATGGACAATGCTATTTAAGGTACAATTTATATTTTGTGATTTAAGTCGTGTTTTATAATTTCTTGTTATTGACGATCTTAATTTGTTTAACCGGAGCAATAAAATAATACTGAAGGATGGATGTTGAGTTGATCTGTTATATAAAATTAACAGAAGCTCCCAATTTGAGCATGTATAACTTCTGATTAATAAAATTGTTTTATATCGAAGTCTAGATAGTAGGAGCCCAATATAGCCTATATCAAAGTAGTAAACTAGTAAACATCAACTAACGAAGAAGATAGCCAACAGCAATTTTTGGTTAGTTTATTTTGCCCATCTCCAGATCTCTCAGTGCAGCAGTGAGACCTATCTTAGCTAGCCTAACTATCATATGAATTTTATGATTGCTGGATTGAGTGTTCATTAAAAAATAAAACTTTCAGCACCAGCTTACTGTACACAGGTACGGCAGTACGTTTGTACGGGTCTCATGTAGTTTCTTACCTAACGTACTTCTAGTAGGCGTAGCATAACAATTTTTTGACATGCCAATCCTAACCCTCACCTGACTACGCCATCCAAACATTACGTCACTACGACGTCACAATCACGTCATAGAGCTTGCCAAATACTCGTGCGATCGCCCGAAATAGCATCGGCGCCGACGATAAAGAACTGACTGACGTCAGCGACCTCTCTCCTATCGGGATCGTTGCGACCAAAGTGACTATAAAGCTATACTATACCAAAGTCACTTTGGTTGCGACGAGAAAACAAGAGAAATGGCTGTTCGATTTCGGGTTCTCGTCTGCGCGTCTTGGATGACAGTTCGCATAGTTTGAAGGGCTCTATCACGTCACTGTGGCGTCGTAGTGACGTAATTTTTGGATGGTGTGGTCAGGATTGATATGTAAAAAAATTGTCATGTTACGCCCACTAGAAGTGTGTTAGGTAAGAAACTACATGAGACCCCAACTGTACAAGTTGGATGGACTACTCTTATCTTAAAAATGGAAATCGTGTGTCTGTATCGGTATGAATAAATTTCTATATTTTCACATTTATTCCCGATTCCATAACCACATAACATCCACATGCTGCTGTGCTGAAATGTCTGCCTCAATACAGCAATAAGCCTTAGGAATACACTCGCCAATGAGATACAAATGAGAAAAAAAGGAATAATTAATAACAAGAACATATTTTTTTAATGGTTCACAATGAGCGAATAAAAAATAAAATAATTATTTTTTTAACCTTTTTCAATGACCACGGCTGCGCGTTTTTTTTTATTTTTTATTGGATTTTCATTAAATAAAAACAATATTGCAAGAAACTATATAGTAGGTCGGGGGAAGTCGGACCCACTAATAAGTTATTTTGAATAACTCTTAAAATAATGTCGCAGCTGCATTCGTTCTACGATTGATTCATGCACCCACCCTCCAGCTATCTTGCCACATTTGCACATTGTTGCCATAGCAACGAATCGGAATTTACGCCCGATTTTCAGCTAAAAAAATATCGGGGTAAGTTAGACACTTTGTGGGAAAGACGGACACACACCAAAATTAACTTGATGGTGTCTAAGATTTCGGTCATAAGACTTCGATCAACGCCTAGATGGCCCAGGATTATGTCTCTTAAATTTTTTTTCGAACAGATCACTTTTCTTGCATATTAAAAAGTATGTCCGTCTTACCCCATAAAGGACATAACAGGGCAATTTTCAAAAGAGTTTGAACAGTTTTAGGAAATCTAGAAATTTAAAATTTAGTTTGCGCTTTTTCAACTGCAATTTTTATATCTTCTTTACACGGACTACATCTAGAAGTGTTTATTTTGTAACTTCTTGGCATAACCTTGGGCGTATTTTATACGCATATGAAAAAAATAATTTGACGGGGTAAGATGAAATTTTACGCCGGGCTTAACTTCTAAGAGATCCAATATAAATATGGCGATGAGTGTGCTTTTGATCTTTGTTGTAAAAGGGTACTTAGTACCAAAAAATAATTATTTATAAGTTTCGATGACGACGGCCCATTGACATTCCCAACAGACTATATTGAAAAAAATCCTCCCCCCTCCCCCACTCAAAATCCACCCTACCTCTTAAGTGACCCTGCCAACCCAAAAATGAGTACTGGCAATCTGCTAAAGAATTTATTCGATCTAATGCAACTACTTTCAACAAATAAACAAAATAGAACCGAGTTCGCAGACTTTTCCGGCTAAAATTGTTTTTCGCCACCATGGGACTCTATAATTTGACGTTTTTCTGTCCCAACAGAAACACCCCTTCCCCAAAAAGCACCGCCTTGTAAGTTGTCGAGCCTGAAATGTAAAATCTTGGTTCTGCTGTTGTTCGCATGATGTCGCTCTTTCACGCGATGCGTTTTGAGCGACGAAAAAGCGCGAGGTGTCGCTAGTAGGAGGATTTTATTTTGACTGACCATCATACCCCGGGTGTCCGAACTACCCCGACCTACTATATCGTTCAAAATCAAAAAAACATTGAATAACAATATCATTTCACATCACTCTATTGGACATGCATTTTTTGGATTTTTATAAATTATTGAACATTATAGCAGTAAACACTATTATGTGCCATAAACCATTCATTCCATAGAATATAGATCACGGCTGTGCGGTGAAACAACATTTCTGTAACATTTTGACGTTGCGCCTCCTAGCGCATGTAAATTGTAAACCCATATGACTAAAGCGCATTATATTTCGGATTTTAAAACATTTATAGTGCTGTGGTTGCTATTTTGAAGCTGGGCATGTAGTTGCATATAAACGAGAAAAGATGTGGTTTGTCATAGGTTAAAATGCCTAATGCGTCATATCTTCCCTTGCCGCATCAACTTGCTCATCATCTTGCACATAATGAGCTGATAAACTGGTGTGGTAAACATATTGCAATATGTTTCCCAGGAGTCTCATAGAATAGAGACCCCCCCCCTCCTTATTTGAAATTGAAGAAGACTGAAAAAATCGTATCAACATAATATGCATGTCCTGTGTTCCACCAGGAAGACGATAATTACTTTTTGATTCTCGCATGGAATCCACAGCCCAAATTTTTTGAAAAAAAAGGAAAAATACATATAAGAAATAACGTCATACTCATAGATTCATTGCAATCGATTAAGGGTCGCGGAAGGGTTGCCTTTGAAAATTTTATTGTTTATCGGGAAATACGAATCGAAAAAAAAAAGATTTAATCGGACACATTTCCACACATTACTATGGACGCGGCATTTCGGAGTAATGCTTCCATATTTCAGTCGACGCAACGGCAGGTAACATTGAATTGAGGGACCACGACATTTCAAAATATGTCGTATCGGTTATGGATTGAATGCTTTGCGCAATTTCGAAGTGTAGGATTTTAACGCAGAATTTGGGATTTTTTCAATGTTGTGTAGCCGAATCCAATCTAGCCTATAATCAGGCAGTTTATGGCATACGAGTATTTAAACTGTGGGTAAACCGCGGCTCGCGGGCCGCATGCGTTAATCAAAATTTATTGTGAGACACGTTAAGACTTAATTATATTATAACCTAACAATTTAATGAACAGCTGCTCGTTTAACGAGCCTACAATTTAAAATTATAATTAGACAAACGGCCACACGCAAAAAGTTGATGCTGAGTGCAGGGGTTCAATAGCGCAGAAAATATTCGAATGGATCTCCTTGAGATGCAATGCAATGGGGAAATAAAATTCATATTCTATTCGAGTGATGCATCACTGCTTCATTTTTATAAAAGGTATCTTCTTGAAGGAAATCTCTATCCAAATTTGAAACACCATGCGACAAAATTCAGTTTGATGTTTGGAAGTAGGCTACATATGTGTGCGAACAATTATTTTCGAAAATGAACATTACAAAGAACAAGCAGAGAACTAGGTTTAAAGATGCCCATTTAAAAACCGTTCCAATCCTGGCTTCATTCAGTGTGTCGCTGATGTCGAGAAGCTATCGAGCGTGATGCAGCAACAAGACAGTGTCACATTAAATGTCTTTTGTAAAAAAATTCCAATAAGACTGACGACTTGGTTGAGTTCGGGAATTGTCGCAGTCTTCACGTGCTGTTCCGGTTTTAACTTTCAAAAAAAAAAGAATATGTGCGGCCCGCCAAGACGTGCAACCCATAATCGAAAAAGGTTGCCGACCCCTGGGCCCGTACCCTCGGTTATCGAATACAGCTTCCCCCACTATCAAGTTCTTGGATATGGATCAAATAAATGACAGTTAATTCTATGGACTTGAGGCCGTGTACATGATGAGGAATTGGAAATGAATTTTACCGCACACCACTATGATGTATTTTGGTGCAGGTCATCAGGCAAGTAGCCGGTGATTTTTGAGGAAGTAGAACCCTGGATCATATCATTTTCGACCTCTCATGATGGAAAAGGAGTTTTCAGCCATGCACTATTGCCATCAAAACAACGAAATCGCCTTTCCATAAGTAAACGGGGCGATTTGAGATTGTTAAAAAACCCACTGAAGACCATCAAGATCATCCATTTCATTAAAAAACACTATGAACTATGATTTGGCTTCTTGTTTATTTGGTCTGTAATATATTCGTTTTTTGTAGTGCTGGGGGCGATAAAGTTGTATAAATGACTGTAGGGGGAGGATGGTACAAAAAAGTTTTTTATTTTTTTATTTTTTATTTATTTTTTTTTATTAATAAAAACATCACTTTTTATCCACACGATATAACACATAAACACAATTGCACTTTAAAAAAATGAGTTCATGATAACTTTCCACTTCTTAATGTGGTTCAACAGTTTACATTTTCTAGTTGCAATAATTTTTTCACAGTTAAATATACTTTTTATCATATATAAAAATTGATCAAATTGAGGCCTTTCGTTACGTAGTTTACATTTATAGATATAATATCTTGCACTCAATAAAACACAGTTTATACCTTGGTTTTGCTCTACCCCCATTAAAATTTCTCTATATGTCAGATTAAGATTTAAACCATATTCAACAGTTAGCCATGCATTAACTATTTCCCAAAATTGTTGCACAAATTCACAGAAATAAAATAAATGTAACACGGTTTCAACATTCCTTTCACAAAATGTACATTTCGGACTTGATGTCTTATTTATCCTAAATAATAGGTCATTTGTAGGTACTGCTCGCAAAGCAAATTTAACATGGAAAGATCGAAGTCTCGATTCAATAGTGCAATAAAAAACTTTTTCATACTGCGTCAACCAGTTATCCAAGTTCTTGCACAGTTCATTTGACCATTTTTCTATTTTCTCCTTAGGCATCAAGATTTTTACATTACGAAGCTTATCATATATGTATCTGGAAGTTTTATCGTTTCTTCTAATATCTTCCAATAGACTAAGATGTGGATTGGCTTGAGGGGTTTTTACTAAATTGTTTTTCCATGCTTGGGGTATACATGATAAAACTTTTAAATATGATTGCATGTCATTATAAAAATCAGAAAAGCAATAATGATGAAAAATGATTGGAAACATTGCAATTTGGTGTTTTGAATCACAGATATCTTCAATAAAACAAATACTTTTTCTATTCCAATCTTCAATATATAACATTTTCCCTTTACTTGATATCTTTTTATTGAACCACAGTGGTTCATGCAAGTGACTTACATCAGTAACAACTTTAGATTTAAAAATATGCCAATAGCATAGAGCAGTGGTGCACAACTCAAATGAGGATATGTGCCAAATTTTTCAAAATAATCTTGTCGCGTGCCACGCACAATTTTTGGTATTGTAAACAAACTCCCGTATAACATATATCAAACAAACTTCAATAATAATACATAATAACGAATATATATTTATTGAAACGATTCGATCCCGTGAAAAACCGCTGATTTGAAGACGTTTTTGTTGGACCAAATTTGAAATGTTGAGCTTCAAGGGAGAAATAGCGATTCGCATCACTGAATCTATATGCTCATCTAGTAAACGAGTCCGTAGCTGGAATTTGTTTATTTTCATGATTGAGAATGCCTGTTAACAACTGTACGTGCTTGCAAATTAACAAATCCAGACTTTTGAATTTCTCAACAAAACTGGATAATTCTCTTTTTCGAGGCGAGAGTAGAACTCAAGTATCGAATTTTGTTGAAAAACATCCTGCAAAACTTGATTTGACCTCAAATCCAGAAGTTTCAGTTGAGCGTCAGCGTCCTCAATATATTCAACATCCACACTCAATGATCTTTGAAATAAATTCATTTGCCCCTTACGGTCATTATAATCTTATAAGCGTTTTGAAAACATTTGACTAAGGTCACTGCACAATATAGCATACTTCTCAAAGTCAGGAACCAAGCTTTTTTCCTGTAAAAATATTTCAATTTCTTCAAAAAGGCTAAGAAAGTGCTGCAAAAGTTTCCATCGACTTAACCAGCAAACTTGAGAGTGATGCACAAAGTCCTTGTATTGTGTATTCATCTCCAACAAGAATGCTCGAAATTGGCGGTGCTTCAATCTATTCGACAGAATTTCATCCACACATTTTACAATAACGTCCATACCATGAGTCATCTTTATACATTGAGCACAAAGAGACTCTTGATGAATGAAGCAGTGAAAAGTAATAATGTCCTGAGTAAAATCAGATTCTTGCAAGTACTTCTTCAATAGCGTCACCGCACCGTTTTCTTTACCAGTCATAGAAGCTGCCCCGTAGTCAATCCAACTAATTTTATAGTGAAACGCATTTAACACAGCTTCTTTTATATCTACCCCACGTGTTGTGTCATAAAGTCCAACAAGATCTTCGTAAGCAGATAGGTCTTTTGCTACAGCGCGGACTGATAATTGCTCAGTATCACTCATATCACAGCTTTTATCAAAAGCCAGTGAAAAACATTCGAAGGTCTACTTTCGATTGCAGTTGCTCATCTGATTGTCGTATCAGGTATTTTATGTATTTATTTTATTTTTGCTTATGTTTATTTGTTTGTGTTATTTTTATATGGACCGAAGCGGTCTGGAGTAATAAACGAATTGAACTGAATTAGGATTTTTGCCAATTTCTTCAATTCTTCTAGGAATGGTAGTCTTCGAAAGGCTGATTCTCGAGCAAACTCGCCATCTGTGAATGGCCTGGAAGAGCTTTTTCTGTTGGAATGGCCTGTAAATTTTTCTGGTAAAACATAAGATGCAGCGATGGCGTTTCTATTTTCCCCGATGGGCTTTTTAAATACGTCCTGCTGCACTCCCAGAGAAATTTTCAGTTTCAACATCAAACTTTCTCTCAGCTTTCCGACAGTTTTATCATATTTGTGTTGATGTAGCGCGGTATGGTGTCTCTTCACATTGAAGGCTTTTAAAATAGGAAGAGTTGTGCCACAAACAAGAATAAGGGCTTCTTTTTATATATATTCGATAAAGAGATATTCGCTTGTCCACGAGTCTTGAAATCCTCGAGTCTCATTTTCTTTCCCTTTTGCAGCGAATGATTTACCCATTGCTGCAATCAGTGCGAATTCAGGAGTTACTTATTTTCATCAACTACCTTCTGAAACAGGACACGAGCTACCACTGTGTGGATAAATATGATCATTAAAGTTTCTTTCGATATAATGGTGATATTTTGATGTTTATCATAAATAAACTAAAATTTTTACAAAACCGTTCGCGTGCCACGTTTGAGCGCATGGCGTGCCAAATTTGGCACGCGTGCCACGTGTTGTGCACCCCTGGCATAGAGTATCTCTTAAACATCTCGACTTAATGTTTTTAATAAATATTCCTAATGGATATACATTTCCATAGAACAAATTCATTCCTCTATATAAATTTAGAAAAAAAATTTCTATAGATTTCCACGAAGCATCAAATTCATCATTTACTAAAAATTTAACCCATCTTAATTTAAGACCAATGAAAAATGATTCAATATCTATCATATTAACCCCCCCTTCCCCTAAAGGTGCAATTAACGTATTACGTTTTATTCTCTCCCATTTTGAACCCCACAAGAATTCATAGCATATTTGATTAGCTTCCATTATAAAACTATTGGGAAGTCTCATTGGTAAGGTGGATAATACATATACTAGTGTACTCAACATAAGGGATTTGATTACCGTAATTTTTCCAAGGAAATCAAGATTTCTTTTTGACCATAATTGTGCAATCATTTTCATTTTCTGGAGTTTTGGCAAAATATTCACAGTATAAAGGTCAGCATCATTTTCATATATAAAAATACCCAACAATTTAAAATTTTTTGGGTTCCACTCAAGTCCTCGATCTTTCATAGGACAATTTTGGCAATGGTACAAATTTGGCAATGGTACAAAAAAGTTTGGGAACCACTGAGATGAACTATATTCTTCCATTATATTGGGAAGCAATATTGAATTCGCATGGAATGGTCGAAATCCCTTTTCATCCAGATCATCATTCAAAATTAAATTAAAATCTCTAGAGAGTATTATGTGATTATTTTCTAATGTTTCTAGCCCGTCATGAATTAATTGCTCAAAAAAGTCGACATTATCTTCATTAGGTGCATATATATATATATATATATATTGACTAAACCAATTCGCTCGGACCCAATCGTCACTTCTAATGCGACATAAATTCCATCAGCTGATTTATGAGAATTTTCAATTTTGTAGGAGATATTATTTTTGAATAGAGTGCATACCCCTTGTGACGAAGAAGAATAATTGGAAAAACGCACGCACAACGTCAAATTTTTGATGCTCAATAAAAAGAAATATTTCCCTTATGTTCTTGTAAGATCGAATGCTTCCAACATCCAGAGGGGCAACCTTCAACTTGCATCCAGATATTTTAGGGTAATATGTTAATGTTACTCCTGGTTGAATATTGTCCACAGTCACAGTGCGTTATCTGATGCCTTTGGGATACCACGAGGGCATGTCCAACAATCGTTTTCACAGTGGCGGCGCGTCAATAGGGCCAACCGGGGCAATGCCCCGGTTGTTTTTTCGGTATAATAAAAAATATTCGAAAAATACCTCAAAATCGGTTGCACAGACTGTCTACACTAGCCATATTCTCCAGACATGGTTCATTTTTCGCTCGCAAAGCCTTCGCCGAACGTCGACGGGGCGACGCCGATTTTGCCCCGGTTGCTCATTGTAAATCGTATTCTCTCTTTTATCTTCCACTCGCCGCGTTTGTCTCGTTTGTTTTCTGTTTCTTTTACTAAATCATCGGGGCCGATCGGGGCTAGCCCCGAAATTATGACGACACAATGCCGACGTTACTTACAACAACGTGTTGACATATTCACGCATTCCTTCTCGTTCGTTGGTTGCTTGAAGAGTTGATAGTTTCCTCGCCTTCGTTTTTGTCGCTTGTTTCGCTATTTGAATCAGTTAGAGACCTTTAGTCCATTTGCTTTCGATTTTCCACATTCCTTTTGAGCTCCTCACTTCTTTCCGGCTTCGCATTTTTTAGCCTTAGACCTCATAATGAATAATGTTGATGCACTACTTCGCACTCCGTTTTCGCAGCTGCCGCTGGAACAAAAATTAGAGGTACAACGTCTTGGGCCTTATCAACCATAAAATTGTTCACTGGAACAATCCCATGACGCTCGGCGTACATTCTGCGCAGAAACTTGGTATAAAAAACACGAATGGTTGTGTTACAGCGAGGACAAAAATGCACTTTTTTGTTTTTATTGCCTACTTTTTGCTACTGCCCGTGACTCACGTTGGTGTAAATTTGGTTTTAGAGATCTTAAACATCTTTCCGAGCGTGCCAGGGATCATCAATCTTCTATGGAGTATCTGGACAATGCAGTAAAATACCGAACATTCGGAAATGTTAATATTGCAGCACAGTTGGATGAAGGACGCGCGGTTTCTATTCGTCGGCACAACCAAAACGTCGAGAAAAACCGTCATGTTCTCGGTCGATTGATAGATGTTTTGAAGTTCATTGGTTGTCACGAGCTGTCCCTCCGTGGGCACGATGAACGGGCTGGCTCTTCTAATAGAGGGGTATTTTTGGATATGGTGGAATACACCGCATCCCTAGATACAGTATTGAGAGATCATCTTGATGCCGCAACTGTTTCGAAAGGGACATCTAAGGATATCCAAAATGATTTGCTCGACTCAATGTATAAAATTTATTTACAACATTTGGCTCTGGAAATTGAGAATTGCCAGTTCCTTTCGATTCAGTCTCACGAGACAACTGACATCACGTGCGTTTCCCAACTGGCTGTGATTTTTCGGTTTGTGAAAGATGGTAAACCTACCCAGATATTTCACAGCTTTGTACCAATCGTTGATCGCACGGCTTGCGGGATATCGGCTGTACTGAAAGAAGTGTTACAGCCTTACAACGCGAAGTCAAAATTGATAGCTCAAACTTATGACGGCGCGGCAGTCATGAGTGGGTCGAAACATGGTGTTCAAGTTTATATAAAAGAAGATTTTCCTCATGCGCATTTTTTACATTGTTATGCACACCAATTTAACCTCGTTATCAAAAATATGTGTCCTGATACCCCTCTCGTCCGTATATTTTTTGCAAATGTTTTGGGGTTTTCTTCATTTTTTTCCGTTTCGCCGAAGCGCTCTGACCTCCTTCGCCAGATATGTAGCCGCCGTCTCCCAGCTTGTGCACCAACACGTTGGAACTTCCAATCACGCGTGGTGCAGGGCGTGTCCGAAATTAGGTCTGAGCTCATTGAGTGTTTCAATGGCATTCAGAGCTCTCCGGTTTGGGACGAACGCTCTGTGAGGGAGGCGGCAGGTCTAAAGCGTCTGCTAGAAGATGGTGAGTTTTTATTTTTTCTCGCTTTTTTCTCCACAATATTCTATCACGTGGATGTATTATACGGCTCATTGCAGTCAAGGCTAATGGATGGAGCGTCTGTGCAGTCGTGTATTTCAGACTTCTGCGATGCTGTATCTCGTATCCGGGAAACAATAAAATACGACGACACATGGAGTGCTTCTTTACGCCGCGGGCAAACAACGCAGCGTTTGATTTTGTCTGCAAAGGAATGCTGTGACATTCTGGTGAATCAAATAGGCGATCGTCTGCGCACTGAACACCTTGCCGCGTTCTCTTTGATGCACCCCAAAAATTTTTCAAAATTTGCACGTCAATTTCCCATCCATTTGTTGGCTACTGTCTCCAAATTTCACCCCATGATAAACGTGGGTAAATTGGAAAATGAATTGCGATGTATATACACCAATCAAACTTTTTTGAACATCACATCAACTTGCGCGCTCTATGGGTTCCTCATAGATAACACTCTAGTAACTACCTTTGCGGCGTCTGCAAAATTTCTGGACATCATTTTGACGACGCCTATTTCTTCCGCCGACGCAGAGCGAACATTCAGCACGCTGAAGCGTATTAAAACGTATCTCAGAAACACAATGAAGCGAGATAGATTGAATTCCTTGGCTGTTTTATCCATTCACAGAGACGTTATTTCTGGGATGCATGACTTTAATCAGCGCGTTATTGAGCATTTTGCTTCCAAGAAACCGCGGCGTGTTGCATATATGTTCAAGCAGTAGAAGTCTAGCAGCATATATATCTATGAGTGAGCGACGCATGTCCTTATCTTTGCATTACCTTTCGTTTCTTCATAGTAACGTTTTAAACCTTGTTTTAGGTTTTGTCTGCCTTCCCGAAGTTTCTGTTAATATGTCATTGTATTTATCTGGGTAAATATTTCCTTTCCTTTTGAAAGAGGTTTCAAAATAAACTATGTCTATATTTATTAACCCCTTGACTTGGACCGGTTTTAAAGACACTTTCTTATCGTTAAAATTGTCGCTTTTGCCGATTGGTTGTTACCGATGGAATGGTTTTTATACTCATAAAATGATGGGAGAACTTACAGCGCTCATCCTGTCCCCGTAGATGGGGGTGACTTGGTCCCGCAGTAGCTTGCCCCGGTTGTCAAAATGACCACGCGCCGCCACTGCGTTTTCATAATCACATATTTCACTGCAGCAAGGAGATGTTATAGTCAATTTAAATTTTTTGATTTCATGGGTCTTGACAAAAATGACATATTTGCTAAATTGTATATATATATGCAGACAATTTGGTCTTGGCAGCTCACGCAGTTTCATTCTTTCCCTGTGAGGTGCTATATTTCCAGGTAAACTTTTACGCAACGCTTGGGGAAAAGACATATATCTCTCCCATTATACGAATTATTTATTTAAGGGTTCAGCGTTTCAACCACCCCTCCTTCCATCAGGAAAAAGTTCGTCCACTCCTTTTTAGGTTTCAACCTTTAAATTACTTCAGCCGCCCATATACCATCGGGAGTAGAGTGAGTTGACTTCAACCATAACGCTTCCCTGCAAAGAAAATCTCAACTGTAGCGAATGTGCATTGTGTAATTATGAATTATAATGTATTTAACCCTTCCATTTTAATAGTGTGTTCCATTTCCCACAATAGGTCATTTTATTGTAGCAACACTGATTACTGATTACATGTACTGCCTTTCTTGTATCGACCAATTTGATGACGTATCGTTCTGGCTTGCCCGGCTTATTGTGTTTAGACCCATTCTTCTGTTTTACTGCGTTAGGTGTGATGTGTTTAGATTCACTTCTGTCTTACTGCGTTCGGTGTGATGTGTTTAGATTCACTTCTGTTTTACTGCGTTAAGTGTGATGTGTTTTGATTCACTCCTGATTTACTGTGTTAAGAGTTAAGTGTGTCTCAATTTTATCTGTTTTCGGAATTTGGATTGTGCATCTTCCTATAATATACAACAACGATTAGCATTAACACTGTGTGCTTATTATCGTCTGAAGGAGTCCAGATTGGAGTCACATTCCATAACGCGTGTCAAAACAATAACGCGGGAATCGAACTTAAACATATAGGGTGATAGTCAATATCCCATCAACAGCATCTCATCTCTTTCTCCCTAGATGTTCTGGTCAGCCACACTTATCTCACAATGATAAATAAAGTATATGTCGACTTCATATTCAGCATAAAAGAAGATAACAAAATTCAGACCCAT